AGAGAGAACCAGGGAGAGAGAGAGAGAACCAGGGAGAGAGAGAGAACCACGGAGAGAGAGAGAACCACAGAGAGAGAGAGAACCACGGAGAGAGAGAGAGGGAGAAAGCACTTTAATATAATGTTGAGACAGCATAGAAAGGTGTGAGTACTTAACACTCTATAAATCGTGTCCCATTCTGTCTTCCACCCTTCCTTTTTCTTCCTGGATTGACACTATATCTGTTCAATCTCATCTCCAGATTTGTTGGGGTGAATGAGTGGATCTTCAGACTGACTGGCTTCCTTTGCAGCCTCATGTCTTCGGCGTTTGGAATAATCCTTGCAGGCAGCCGATACTGGCGCCTCTGGGAATTCAACAACGAGGTCGTTCAGCTTGTGTACATTGGACTCTGGGAAGCTTATTACCATCAGGAGTTTCAGATGTCTGGCTCTGTGACCAGGATTCTGGTTCACAGCCCTGTCAACTCAAGCTGGACCATTTCACCTGAATTTCGTTGTGCACAGAACCTGATCTTATTGCCGATGTTTATAAAGCCTGTGGTCGTGATTTTTAGCTCATCGGCCATTAGGGTTAGCATTATCAAAGCCTCAGTCCCTGAGATTCAGATGATCTGCTACAAGTGCTGTGTCTTCATTCTGTTTATCAGCAGCCTTTGCACGGTTCTTTCTGTCACCTGGAACCATGTAGTAGATCTTTACGGCGAAACCACGCTTGACTTTCCACCCAACTTTCCCGTTAGGAAAGAAGCCCTGATAAAGAAACACCACACTCATGTGTTCCCCATAGGGGTCACGACAACCATTCTGTCACTCCTTGGTATGATCATGTTCCTATTTGAAATCAGGTCATTGAAAACACAGCATAATCTGAATGTCCAGGATGCTTCTAAACAGGCTGATCAAATGGCCTGAAATGAGAGAGATGGCATTTGCAAAACATGCCAGGTGACTCCTTGGCCAAATTATCTACACCCACATGATACACTTGTAGTATTCTCCTCACTTAAAATAAAATGCCACTTTGATTGTCAGGCTGTGTGTGAAGCTTATTTCTTTCTCTACCTATTGGATGTGTTCCATTCTTTAAAGTTATTCACATCCTAAGCTTTGCATGCAAAGATGATGTGTTTGGATAGTGACAACTCCCTATGGCAGTCAAAAGTACAGGTGAAATGATATTGGCCCAACCCTAAGGAGTGAGGGCTGCTGTTAAAATAAAAAAAAAAAAAAACAATAAAACGGGAATTTATACATGGATCAGATTGGATCAGATTAAGCCCTTCTGTGTATTGAGAGCAGAGCAGTACTTCATGCCTTTGGTAGTACTGAAGGGTCTGCTTTCTTAGAGGTAGGAAGGCCAACTGTGCACTCACGATACCTACTGCTTTTGAAGACTTCACCTTGATGGGGATATTTGAAATACCCAGGCATTTCCAGTCTACTCTGGAGGGCAAAGTGGTCACTGTGTGGATAAACCTGGTAGGATATGGGCATGATTCTGCTGTGTGAAAGATATGTAAGGGTTCATTGATTGCACTGTTTATGATTAAGCTAAAAATAATGACCGTGAATCCACTCCTTCCCAAATAAGAAAGAGATGCTCTAACTGAAACGATGCAATACCCTCTCTGAACTGGGGAGATGGGGGAGGGAGCTGCTGTCTGTAACCTTGTGTCTGTATTTCAAAGGAGAACTTCTGAATCTTTATGTCTTCTCTGTGTTTCACTGGAAAACTGTGATTTGCTACCAGGCATCCAAACCTGTGGGGAGAGTGACTACAGCCAGTATTCTATTGAATAGCTATATTTTTCACTTTGTTCCTCTCCCCTAAGTCCCATCTTCCAGAATCATGTGTGGGATAAGACTTTAGTAGAGGAAGAAGAGAAAGTACCAGTTAAGGTACCTAAGGAGAAAGATGCAAACGAACTGAGTTAGCCATGCTGGTCAGAGGAGCGCTGGTTTAAATTGTTGCTGCATGCTATTTTAAATGAAGAGTAATGCCAAATACCCTTATCATGTTACACTGAGACGCTAGGCCTGATTACACTTCCCACTATATCGATGAAGATATGAGCCATGATTAAAAGGAATTCAAGTACATTTATTGGGAACAGAAAGAGATGAAGTAGTCAAGTGATTCCAAATCCAACCTTTGAGGAGAAAACAGGTGTTCGGTTTTGTTTTTTATTTTATTTTATTTTATTAAAGCTGTTGGCTGATGACTTGGGCATCATATTCTTACCTCATAGCTACGAATCTATGATTTCCATGTAGTCTTCTCTTACCGGAGAAAGGTTCCTGACCTGTTACTCATCTCTCGTCCTACATGGTGACTGACTCAACGTGTCCACAGAGAAGACAGCAATTTTCCTGTTTGTCCCTGCTTATATTCTGATTCTGCCCAGCTACGTCACTTCCTGCCTGTCTGTACAGACCTCCAGACCTCTATGGTTAGCTAGTGTCACTTCCTGCCCAGCTATGTCACTTCCTGGCATCATATGACTACTCCTTGTCTCCTAGTCCTACCTTTCATCCTGCCCAGCAAATCAGTGTTTTATTCATCAACAAATAAGACATGCATATATACAGAAGAACATTCCCCATCATCTCCTCTTTTATGTCTAAATAAAAAGAAGGGTTTTAACTTTAACATAGTAAAATTATATATAACAAAACTGTTATCAAGTAAGAACTATACTTACAATATTTAGTCCAATAACATTTAGCAAGTTTTAAAGAAAATATTCTGTCATCTATCCTATCTTTGTGAGTCTAAAGTCTTATATGCAGCTTCTCTATTATCATAACTAATGAAAACTATAACCATAACTATCTTTCCTCAACTCCAACAAAGATCACAAGAAGGATAGTATATAAACTCTAGAACCGACAGAGTCATCTAGCTAATGGACAGTCTCCCAAGAGATCCTCTGTAATGTTGGGGCATCCATCTTCAGCCTACAGGACATAGTGTGTCTGGCAGACTTCTCAGAAAAGCAGGAAATTTTAAACTGTCCACCTGCCATGGTAGTTTGTCAGTCATTTGTCTCTGTGTCCTGCAGAATGTCTGGCAGACACTTTCATGAAGCAGGAACCTTTCGGGACAGTCCATCTTGTTTTGCAAGATCAGCAGTCACTTTCCTGTGGATCCTGCATGTCTAGTTTATACAGCAAGAGTCAAACAGTCTAGGCAGAGCTGATTCTTGCCCAAATGGCTATTTCTGCCAAGCCAAAGACAAACTCCGTAACGACTTTCTTCGATGCCTATCTTCCTCTCAGACATAATTGGTGTTGCCAGGAGCAGTTGTGTCTCACTGTCATGAAAACCCTAAACCATATTAAATGCCATATGCTGTAGGTCTTTGAAAGTTTTGCAAGCTATCTATCTGTCTCAAATACATCTCAAAACCTAACTAGCCTAACTATAAGTTTTGAATATTATAGGTGACTGCATACAATCTGTATTTAATTATGCATTGCATTTTAAAAGATCTGTATAAACACAATACCTAAACAAGAGAAATATGCATATCACAAAATTCACCTTAAATTTGTATCAATAAACCAAAATCCATACCAATGCAAAGTATTCATTTCTATATCATCTGTCTGTGTGTCTGTCTCATTTACTGCTAATATATGCATACTTTGATCCCAGTAGGCTTTAGTCTACCACTATAATCACATTGGTTAGGTAATGGATTATCCTTCCTTATGTATCTTATTTTTTATTATTGTTCTATTTACTTATCTATATTTTTTTCATTTTTTGAGACAGGGATTCTCTGTGTAACTTTTTCTGTCCTTGAACTCACTCTGTACACCAGGCTGGTCTTGAAATCACAGAGATCTGCTTGCCTCTGCCTTCTGAATGCTGGGAATAAAGGCATGTGCCACCACACCCAGCTACTCTTATTTTTTCTGTCTTTCTTTAATCAGTCTATCCTGTTTCTCTACTCTCACAAGCCTACCTATATATATTTTTTTCTTTTCTTTTTGTTACCTTGGCTGCCTGAGGAACACAGATCCTCTGTGCTCTCAGAAAACGCTTCTCTGAAGATTTCAGCTCAACGATGCTGGTCTCTTCATTTTTTTAAAATTTCAATTACAAACAAGATTGAATTACATGACAATCCCAGTTCCCTTCTCCCTTCCTTCCTCCCCTACCACCTCTCAACTAAAATGCTACCTATCATATATCTTTTCTTCTAATCTATACCTGACTCAACCTTTCTTCTCCCTCATGACCTCTGCATCTTTCCTCTTCTTCCCTTCTCATTCTCCTAGCTCCCTCCCCCGTCTTCCCATGTTCTCAATTTGCTCAGGGAATGGTGACCCTTTCCCCTTCTCCAGGGGACAAATTTTGTCTCTTTTAGGATCCTCCTTGCTTACTAGTTTCTCTGGCAGTGTGTATTGTAGTAAGGTAATCCCTTACTCTATGTCTAAAATCCGCATATGAGTGAGTGCATATCATGCTTGTCTTTTTATGATTGGGTTACCTCGCTCAGAATGGTTTCTTCGAGTTCCATCCATTTTCCTGCAAATTTCAAGATTCCATTGTGTTTTTTTCTTCTGAGTAGTACTCCATTGTGTAAATGTACCACATTTTCACTATCCATTCTCCAGTTGAGGGGCATCTAGGCTGCTTCCGGTTTCTGGCTATTACAAATAGTGCTGCTATAAACATCGTGTCTACCTATATTTTTAAACACACTGTAAACCTTCAAGAGGTTTTACTTTATCTGAGTCTGTCTTTAATGTAAATCTTTTTCTTCTACTTATGTTTTTAAAATTAGAAACAAGATTGTTTAACATGTCAATCCCAGTTCAGTCTCCCTCCCCTACTCTGCTGCTGCCAACTAACACCCTATCCAATCCCCTTTCTGCTCCCCAAGAAGGATGGGGCCTTCCCTGTGGGATCTTCAAAGTCTAAAATATCATTTGGAGCAGAGCCTGGGTCCTCCCCCAGGTGTCTAGGATGAGAGAGTTTCCCTCTATGTGGAATGAGCTCCCAAAGTACATTCCTATACTTGGGATAAATACACTTCTACTACCAGAGACCCCACAGACCCCAATCCTCCGAAGTGACACCAACTCTCAGGGGGTCTGGATTTGTCCTATGCTGGTTTCCCAGCTATCCGTGTGGGGTCTATGAACTCCCCCTTGTTTCCGTGGGTTTCTCCAGCCTGGTCTTGACCCTTTTGCTCATCGCTCCTCACTCTATGCATCAGGATTCTAGGAGTTCATTCAGTGTTTAGCTGCCACTGCTTCCATCAGCTATGGGATGAAGGCTCTAGGATGGCATATAAGAGAGTCATCAATCTCATTATAGGGGTTGTGGGGGTTAAGTTAGCCTCTCCACTATTGCTTAGACTGATAGTTGGGGTCATCATTATATATCTCTGGACATTTCCCTAGTGCCAGATTTCTCTTTCAACCTATAATGGCTCCCTCTATCATGGTATCTCTGATTTGCTCTCCTCTATTCTTCCCCAGACTCAACCTTCCTGCTCCCTCATGTCCTCCTCCCTGCTCCTGTTCTCTCCTTCTCTTTCTCTTAGTTGCAGTTGCCTCTCCCTTCCCCTCATGCTCCCAATTCATTCAGGAGATCTTGTCCCTTTCCCCTTCTCCAGGGGACCATGTATGTCTCACTTAGTGTCTTCCATGTTTCCTATCGTCTCTGACAGTGTGGAATGTAGGCTGGGAATCCTTGTTTACTAGTTTCTCTGGCAGTGTGTATTGTAGTAAGGTAATCCCTTACTCTATGTCTAAAATCCATATATGAGAGAGTACATACCATGTTTGTCTTTTAGTGACTGGGTTACTTGTCTCAGGATGTTTTCTTCTAGTTCCATCCATTTGCCTGTGAATTTCAAGATTCCATTCCCCCCCCCCCCCGCTGAGTAGTACTC